TATATATATATATATATATATATATATAGTATATATATATATATATATATATATATATATATATATATATATATATATATATATATCCTTAACCCATTGAGTGGCAGCATCCCCCCTGACAAGTAAAATCGTCTGGCATAGTAGACAGAGTAAGAAAATAAAGTAGGGCGCATTGCCACTTAAATAATAATAATAATAATAATAATAATAATGATTTATTGAACAATATATCCACAAGCGGCTCTTCACTTGTTCACTATATATAGTAACAGTGCAATAAATTATGATAAAAATTGAGATATACATATTACTAGCTATATATACAATAATTAAGATGGAATCTAATTAAGAAGTTGTAATGCCCTAGTGTAAATAATGTTCCTTGTCTGTTTACAAAAGGTGGTAAAATGTGAACAGTTTCTCACATCTTCGGGCAATAAATTAAAAACATGCGAAGCTTGGTCTTGTAACGTATTGCTAATCAGTGGTCTCTCTAATTGTACACCATTTCTAGATCTTAAACATTTGCTGTGTTGAAATATATTTAATTTTAAGTAATTTGGCCAGTTAGTGTTGTGAATGACCTTATGAGTTGTTTTAAGTAAGTTCCATTCACGTTGTTCCTTCACAGGAAGACACTTGAATTTTAACGTTTTGACAAGTAGTCTGGGAGAGAGTAGTCCACAATATCATTATAATACAGTTTACTTAGAACAAGTGCTTGTGCTAAGTTCTTCTTGATGCGAAAAGGTATTGTTTCCTTCAAATTCCTTATTGATGTTAAAGTAGCACGCTGCAACGTGCTTGACATTCTCTTCTCAGTTTAGATGTTCATGAATATGAGATCCTAAAAGCTTACTGGTAGGGACTCGTTTTAATGATGTATTATTAGCAGCGATGTCAATGTTTGTAATATCCAAGTGATGAACTTACGATAACTGCGAAGTGGACAGCAACATCACCTCGGTCTTCTCTGGATTGATAATTAAGTTTGCTTCTCGCGACCATGCCTCCAATTTGCCCATGCCTGTAGAAAGTTCAGTCACAGTAGATTGAAGATCTACTGGTGTACAATGTTTGTAAAAAGTTGTGTCATCGGCGTATTGGTGGCATTTGACGTTGTCCATGCATGATTGGAGGTCTGTCACATAGAGATTGAAGATCAATGGCCCCATTATTGAACCTTGAGGTACTCCAAAATTGACTGTACAGAGCTCTGATTTGTTGTCATCTATCTGAACAAAGTGTTTCCTACCAGTGAGATATTGTATTGTCCATTTCAGATAATCTTTTGAAAAACCAAGGAGACCAGGTTTTTCAGGACAGTTTTATATTTTATGGTGTCAAATGCCTTGGAGAAGTCAACTAAAACCATAAGAGTTAACTTCACCGCGCTTCATGGCATGAACTATATCTTCCTTAATACCCAATAGTACCGTTGTAGTCGAATGACCTTTCCTAAACCCCGAGATGTTATCTTTGAATAGTGTACGAGATTCAACATAGTCAATGACCTGATGGTGGACAAGTCTTTCTTACACTTTCGAAACAACTGTGAGAATCGAAATTGGCCGCATATTTGGAACACTGACAGAGCCGTTGGTCTTTGGAATCGGAGTTATTCTGGCCACTTTCCATGCGTTAGGAAAAAGTGACTGGGCAATAAATGAATTTGGTATGTGAGTCAACGGTCGTGCGATTGATTCTGCAACAGGTTTAAGATACTTAATTGGTATTTGGTCAGGTCCCGTTGATGTATCAGAATGAATGATTTTAATCTCATTGAGAACCTCATTGTGGGTGACATGACGTAAGATAGATGGTTCTTCTTCCATGGGTGCTGGTGGTAAGCTATCAACAAAGTCTAGCAAATCTTCCTTAATGTCCACATCTAAATTTCCAGTGGTACGCTGAGCAGTCTCTGCAAAATATGTATTTAGTTCGTTGACATCAAGTCGCAAAGGTTGTGGAGACGGATTCAATATACGATGAATAACACGCCAGACCGCCATTGGTCTTGATGATGACAGTGCAGTGTTAATGAATAAGCGTTTCGCCTCCTTGATTTTTGTTTTCAGGCGATTACATACGTCACGAAAAGCTTGCTAGATATCCGATGTTTTCAGTGAATGAGCTTTATGTCGCAACAAATCTCGTTGGTTTTGAAAACTTTTTATTTCTTACTCGTGCAACCACGGTGGGCGTGTGATCTTTGTGCGCTTCAGTGGGGCGTGTCGTTCAATACACTCCGTAATGAGCGAAATTAATAAACATTTCCAATTTCTCTTCTGGGTCATCTACTACTTGAATTACACTAAACGGAAGAGATGTAAAGTCTCGAATATATTCTTCTTCCTGAAACTCTCGTTCATTTCAGTTCACTTAAAGGGTTAAACTGGCTAACTGAACGTACTAACTGTTAACTAAAAAAACTGTGTGTTAAATGCCAGTTTCAGTTCTATGTAACATGTGCATTAATAGTTTGTTATAATTTATATAGTTTAACACACCCTAATAACTATGGTAACTCGAATGTATAAAATACAATGTCCAATACGGCAACTTCTCAAAGGAATTATTAAGGAAGTTATTGTTGTAATAAAGATAATATAATTTTAACGAAGTGGCTATTTGTACTGGAATATGGCACCTGATTCTTACATTTCGTAAATTAGTAATATAAAATAGTTTTTTGCAATCGCTAAGCGAAGCGAATTTTAGCCGTTTAGCCGTCGGTTTTCTGTTTGACTTAGAAATATTTCTTAAAATATTAAAAAAAATTTCCCCCAACTTTTTTAACTTTCAAATAGTTTATTAGACATTTATTGGTTAGGGTTAGAAAAGGGACGAAGGGTTTGGGGTTGGGGACCGTTTATCTTAAATATTCCAACTGCTGCAGTACGAATAGCAAATCAAACAATAGTTCTGGGTCCTGACTTAAGGCGGATTTCCAGTCCTCGCACGGAGCTCCTCGCAGCTCGCTGCGAGTGCATGCATGAGCACTTTCATCCAATCACAATGCTAAACAGTTAATTTTAATTAGATGCAAGCACTCGCAGCGAGCTGCGAGGAGCTCCGTGCGAGGACTGGAAAATTGCCTTTATACAGTGTTCCGAGTTTACAGTATTAAAAAATTAATACAAATGGGGAGAGGGGGGGGGGGTTGTATAGATTTTCAGTATTTTATAGGGGGTCTTCAACATTTAGATCATCAAGGGGGGAAGGTTACGAGATTTTTGTATATGACATAAGAATCTCCCACCACCCTAGGGTATTAATAATGAATGGTCCCTAAAATATATCAAACTATTAATAGCTTATATTGTAATAGCTTAAATTTAGATTACACGAAGTGGTATTGACTAGATATAGCCTGCTCGAAGACTTTGTATTTCTTACGCCAAGCGACGACTGTTAGTTTTTGGTCGCTTAGCGTAAGAAATACAACGTCTGCGAGCAGGCTACACTATATAAGGAGCTATATACAGTACTGCTCAGAAATAACCTAACAGAAAACGCGTCCGGAACGCGTCCCGAAAGCGTCCGGAACGCGTTCCTAATGCGTTCCATTTGCGTTCCATTTGCGTTCCATTCGCGTTCCATTCGCGTTCCATTCGCGTTCCAATTGCGTTACATTTGCGTTCCATTTGCGTTCCATTTGCGTTCTACTGTTACCGGAACGCATCTGCGGAACGCGTTCCGGTTACACTCGTATCGAAACCGGACATCGTCGGAAATCATCGCGATTTCCCGACTATTAGTCAGCCTCACTTACACATTTTGTGTTCACACTATAAAGCATGAAACCGCGTTTTTATATTTGCTTTCCACTAACGAGTCGCGAATCAAAATAACCTATGATGTACACATCACATACATGTACGTGCGTGGTCAATACTCCGGGACAAACTAAAACACAATCTAGCTAATTTCCTCTATTCGCCATCAGGTTTCTGATGACCATGTAGAAAATGCTCGCACTTTTCACAAAACTCTAGAGGGCATCAAAATAAATAAAAACAGCTTTGAAGGAATTTTAATGACTTTAACAGTATTGTCTAAAATTATGGAAATTATTGTCAAAAGTTATTCACTCACGCGTGTGTTGAATAGGCTATTGAATTTCATTTCCAAAAGAGGTAGCCAAAATATCACAGTGTTTGGACTTTATAAAATCATCATCAGACTCTCACAGGAGGAGTTTTAAATGGATAAACCCGGTACCGGAAAAAGCAAAAGGTATTAAAGGAGGTCGTCCAATTTATTTTAGCCATCCTGTAGACTAGAAATACACATAATTTCAATCTTAACTCATGCAATAATAGTATGCATTACGCAAGCGATGTTTATTGCTGATATGCGTGTATTCGCGTGCGTCGACAGTAAGGAAACATCTTCATATAAGTTGGTACGATTGTTAGTAAATGTATATTGCAAGCATGCACTTATTAATCAGTGGCGGCGCCAGGCTTCCGAATTTGTGGGGGGTGGGGGCATTTGAGGGGCAAACTCATATTTTGGGGGGGGGCAAGATAAAATTTTTAAAAATGTCGCCCCCCAGGAGGCGGGCGATATTCTTAGGAATATCGCCCCCGGGGGCGAATATCCTAGGAATATCGCCTCCCAGGGGGGTGGGGCGAATACCCTAGGAATATCGCCCCTTTTTAGGATATTCGCCCCCATATATGCGATGGGGTTTATTCAAACAATTTCGTGATACTTTCATCTTATTAGTGCCTTACACGTTTGAGAATTTAACTCTGCAAAACTAAAGCTTTTTTTGTCTTTTTTGAAACGTATTATTGGAATATTTTACCATTCAGAGATTTACAAACTAATATTGAAACTGTAAAAAAACAGGTATACGTACGCGCATTCACTAAAGAGTAATAACAACTTATAAGCCATAAGTAGTAATATAGAGGGATAGTATTGTAAGGACACGTCCATTTACGATCAGACTTTTATCAATTTCCAATTTTGCAAGACCTTTAAGAAATATGTTCAGTCCAGCCGGTTCTGGAATTTCAGTATTATATGGTAAAACAGTATATTGCAAAAGATCTACAAT